TCTCTCTCTCTCTCTCTCTCTCTCTCTCTCTCTCTCTCTCTCTCTCTTAAATTCATATTTCCAAGTGGATTGGATTAGCGATGAAGAAAAAATTCTAGAAATTCTTATTACGTAATTAGTCTAGCGAGACTCCAAACGAAATCACTAAACACATAAATAAACTCTGAATTACTCGAGAGAGAGAGAGAGAGAGAGAGAATGTGTGTGTGTGATTGCGATTCGCGGCAAAGATTCGAAAGAGATTGTTTTACACGATTTTCTTCCGTTTTACTTCGTCACACAAATGAAGCATTCTTACAGTTTGCAATCCGCAATCTACTATATGTAGCATTCTATTTTAGCGGCGATTGGACAAAAGGACATGGAACCAATGAAAATCGAACAAAAAGTTAAGCCAATCAAGATCAAATTGACAGAAAAAAATAGTTGACTACAATTTTTTTTACAGCAAATGTTTATTTTGTTTTCAATTTTTATCAAAATAAATTAATGAATCAAAAGCTTGGGCTGGATGGGAGCAACCGTCTATCTTTATCTCTCAATTTTTCGCTCGATCGCTTGCCGTTATTTTCATTGAACGTGCGCAGGCGATTAGGACCGAAAAAGTAGTAGAAAGTTCTGTTTTTTTTAAACAACGAGTATTAGCACTACAAAATTTATAAATAAAATTCAATACTAATAGCTAAAGACTGTGTGTACCTATGTGTTTAGAATTCCGCCCATAAAAAACTGTTCAATGTGGATTTTGACAGAAAAAATGTAAATGATCTATTCTTAAAATCGATTTGTTGTTTTTTTTTCATTTTAAATGACCCTATGCAAATATTACACACATATTTGAAGAGATTTGAACAATTGCATCGAGATTGAAATACAAATTTCAATCCAGTTTTTTTTTATTTAAATATTTTGACAGTCATTTTTCTCTTGTGTGACTGACTGTACGAAAAATGAACGTTTGCATTACTAAAAAGACATTTTAAATGATTAATTAAGTAAATGAATTTGTTGCACTTATTTTTTGTGTTTTTTTTGTTGTTGTTGTTTTGTTTGAAAGACATAATGATTTTGGTACTATTGTAGGTTTTGCTTTGTATTATTATTTTTATAAATTATTTTATACAAAAGAAAAATATTGTTTGTAATCGTTTGTGTTTCTCTTCACTTATTTAAATTTGCTATCAAAAAGTCGACAAATGAAGAAAGCAAACATATTTCTGTGACTATTTTTTGATCTTCAATTTTTTTCTCTTTTTCTTCTCTTTCTTGGAAGAGAGTGGCATCTTCCAGCGATTTGTGTTGTTGTGAAACAAGGACTACAAAAGGGGGACTGTTCTCTATCTTTTCTTATGCAATAAAAAAAAATCAATTTAACGATATTGTCATAGTTGTTCGGTGTATTTTGTGTTGTTTCTCAGTGGGGTGTAATTGTGAGACTGGGTAATTGTGATGCACCGCAACAGGCAATTACATACAAAATGCCGAAGAAAAAGTTCAACTTGGCCGTTTGCTTTGGCACACTGCGTAATGTCGTTTCCGAGCGGAATAGCTTTTCGATTTTAAAGGCTTGCGGCAATGTGACCACTGGCAATACAAACCATACCGAATACTTGAGTGTCAGAACCACGAATATGATGTACGGTGTAAATAGTAAGATGGCATAGAGAATATGTGATGCGGATCGTCCAATCATAATGGCCAGTGTTACAATGCCGGCCGCTTTGTCCGTTTCCGCGTCGCGTGTATTGTTGCTGTGTAGAATGGCTTCGGTGTTGAGAGCGACCGGAATGGCAAAGTAAATGGTTGACCAAACAAAAGCACCGGTTTGCGCAAAATAAGCGAATAATACGGAAATTGGGCCGAAAATGATTAGAATTAAAATATCGCCAAGAGCAATGTACTTCAGTCCAATGCCACCCGTGTACAGAAAACTCGACGATAAACCACCGAAATAGACCAATGCCAAGTGTTCCATCTTTGCCGGACTCAGTATCGATAGCAGAATGAAGCCAACACAACCAGCCACGTAGAGGATTACGCCCAGTGATACAACCTAGAATTGTGAATAGAACAAGGAGAGAAAAAAAAACAGAATGACATCATTGAACAAAAAAAAAAGCTGCACTTAATTTAGATAACGTGGCTGCAATTCATAATCGAAAGCAATTGAAATAGCACACGCCGATAGTAACAATACAATGGAAAACAATGTAATTTGCAGTGTATTCACCTCATCCTTCGATAAAATGTGATCGACCAGTGTACGATCGTCGGATTTTCGATTGTCAATGCCCTTGACGTAGTCGTAATAGGTATTAACAACATTTCCAGCTCCATGCACTGTCACCACCGTAAATATTGTTAGAATAAATGTCAAGAAATTGAATTCGTGCGGCGTTGATGAACGATATGCAAGTGCCGAACCCAACAGTGTTGGCACCAAACTCGCTGATAATGACCATGGTCGCAATGCAAACAGATATGTTTTTAATTTCATAAAAACCGGCACCGGACGTGCCGCATCTTTTGCATTTGTCTGTACGGCCGTTCCTTGATGATTATTGTTTGCAGACGTGGATTTGCCATTTTGATTATTGACCAGCACATTATTTCGTTTACTTGAAACTGTATCACTACTGTTGTAAATTAGTGGCGCCTGTGAGCCATCTGAGCTAATATGCTTTGTGTTTGACATTGTGTAACTATGGAGAAAGACGTCGTCACTTCTTTTATTTTTTCAATCAAAATACTAAATATCGTGTTAGACAATCCACACAACCCGTTGAGTGATGATGATGATGATGATAACATACGATGCAAAAATCATAAAATGCACTGTTTCTCTCTGTCGTTCTCGTTAATCGTTAACTGTGTGTCTTTAATTTCTTTTGTTTTATTGTCCGATACTTTTATAGCGTTTCTATAAATTGCACATTGGCTGACCACTTCGATCATATTTTATCTTCTCAATCTCTTTTGCAAACAACCATGTGTGTCACGGTTATCCCATTCAACTGATTACTACACAAGTTTTTGTTCGTTGTCGATTATTTATTGTGTATCAGAAAGTTTTTTTCCGCAATTTACTGTACGTATTGCACACCTCAATCACGAAGCAAATATTGAATGTGATTGGAATCAAATGATGATGCAAAAACCGCACGCAGACAATTGTTCCTTTCAACACTGTCAATCATTTAGACGATGCGAGATATTGCACACCATTTGGCGGTTGAAACACTTTATTTTATCACTTTTGATGATTGTTATCTGCCACAAAGCGAACAAGAGTCATTTGTACATCAATTGTGTTGATTTTGATTCCGCACGCATGTCAAAATAAACTGGTTTAAATAGAGTTTTATGTTGCAAGATTACGACTGTCAATGAAGCTGTTGAATGCAATCAAAACGCACATCACATGGAACAAATGTGTGTTGCACATTCCGTCAATGAAAAATAAATAAAGAGACAAAAAAAGAAATAATTCACTAGTTTTGGCGGCGTCAACGAAATTTGTGTTTTTTTTTTTGTATGGAATTTGTATAATTTTCCTTCTACTTCATTCCTGAATTTGGTGTTTTCTTCTTTTTCCTGGCTGTTGTTACCGAGTGAATTAGGAGTTATTAATAAATCACGTTAATTCGATAATTAACAAGCACTTAACGATGCGAACGTTCGTTCGAGAAACTATATGTGTGTATACTCGGTGCCGATAGCTTCAAGTGACTGAGATTGTACGAAAAAGTGATTTGTTGAAGCTCCCAAAGTCGACTAGTATCGTCCGCCAACGATATATGTATGTATATCACACAAATATGTATTGTACTACACACTGATTTCACACGTATTAAACGTTTGCTGATTTTTTTCTTCTTCTTTCTTTCATTCGCCCAACACCACACTTACGACTGTCGATCGTCGTAATGCTATTTATTTTCCTTTTTTTGCTGCTCTATCCGTCTGTGTGCCGTGCCGTATTATTTATGACTTTCGAGTTGTTCATTTGTCACAAATTAAATGTTCCCACGAATAAATCGGTCAGTATTGATAACAGCCACCGATGGTCGTGTGAATGAAAGATTCCGGATTCTGATAAAATTGCACTCATTAATCCGCAAAAATTCGGCCAAATTACACACACATTTATGCACCGTGTTGCGTTACCATTCATACACAATTCGTCCGTTGAGTACTTTTTTTTCTCTTTCCTTTCCTCGTCGTATACCGATTCTTAATGTATATTGCAATATTTTCACATTTGCATCACCTTGATCTTATCCCGCAGAATGATCGAAATGAAATGCAGTCGCATCGAAATGGCAGAGAAGAAAAAAAACCGTAACAATGTGTGGCAAAAGTGCAACAGCACAAAAAAAACAATGCAAAAACGCGAAAAGAACGCAATGAGATTCGACCGCAATATACGCACTGAGGTGATTAAACAGAATAACACGCAATACCATACAACCAGCAAATGCACCAAAACACTCACTTGTATTGATATTGTGTCTCGCGAAATTGGTGAGACCCAAAAATAATTTTTGTGTTTTTTTTTCGTCTGATTTTAAAGAAATCGCCTGTGCGAGTTTTCAGTTCAATTCAGTTTTTGTGTGTATGTGTCACGTCATCTAGCTCTGACTTGGTTTTCTCTTTTTTTTCTCTTCTTCTTCTTCTCATCGCATGCCATTGTATATGCCGTACAAACGCATACACACATTGAATATTTTCTTTTCGTTTTCTCTCCCTTTCTCCCGCATTAGTTGGCTCATTTGCCGTGCTCGATTCTTGCCCAGTAACTATATGTTGCTTTATGTGTAACTGGCACACGAACTGTCAAAATTATCGTAAACCAGTACACACATTTCATTACGTACGTATTGTAGATTTTTGTGTGTCATATTTCGTTGGTTACTTCACTGAAGATATGCGCTTATATATATGGTTTGCTGCAATGCATCCGCAGATGTTTGGTGATAAAAATTGAATTTTTCGTCAATGATATTAATCGTCATGCAGTAATTGGTAGAATCAGACAGGTTTTTTTTTCTATAATTTTCATTGAACATATCGATTGACAGTTGGTCGTTAAAAGTTTGCAATTCAGACGCTAATTATGCATCGGTTATCGGAACATTCTAATCAATAAATCTAGACATGCTTCAGTTTATTTGTGTTTATTGTTGCCCGTTATTTTCCTTTTCTGTTTGTAACATACAAAAATAAGAAGTTTTTTTTCTTTTCTTAACATTGATAGCGTCTGTAAATCTTATGGTCTAATGCCTAGATAGACATTTATTGATTTCCACCGTGCATACAGCACAGTCAATCGATTACGGATGATCATCACTGTTGGCACTGCACACCGAAGACAATCGCTAGGTTTCTATAACTGTTTGCTTAATCTCGTCTAAATAATTGTCGATTTGATCGCTGAGCGCAAGAATATAGCCTGTGTTGCAGTCTTCTGTTCCGATGAAAGTCACAATCAGCGGCAGCTTATTCATTTGGATAATCTAAGGCGTAAAAAAGGGTGGAAAAAGCACATCAGTCGATTCTTATTTTTGAAACATTTTTTTTTCTTCAAAGATAAACCACCTGATAATTGGAGTACATGCAAACGATGGATTGATTCTTGCCCAGTCCCAATTTGCTCGCTTGATCCGTGGCCATTGTGTATGTGGCTAAAAAGGTTGGTTTAGTGGCCAGCCCAATTTCGAGTGGTGCATCCTCTGCTTTGGCACTTATTACCGGTGTTCCATCACGATCAGTCACAATGATACACATTATGCCACTCACCCTGCAAACAATCAATTCATTGTCAACATTTTCAATACGTGAAAAAATCAACTGTTTATTCCAAATTTAAACTTACTTCTGTATCAGCCCATTGAAATATTTCTTGATATCATCCGTCATGACTAGGTGTTCATCCAACAATTTAGCCTTTAATCACAATTTCTGTCCGATTTTCTGGAATGGTATCTGTATTTATCAAAGTGAATGAAACAAAAATTGTCTGTGATTAACATTTGAGATGTCAAATTATTACGTATTACGTACGAATGCGATACGTCAAACTACGCGCAATGTTTACATCGTACAAGATGTGCCTATACTGTCACTCAGAATCTGTGTTTTTTCCCAATAAGATGCTTCGAGTGTGAAGCTCAAGACTGACTGACCTATGAAAAGCATCAACATTTTTTTTCTTCTAATTGAAATCCTTCCGTTTGTTAACGAATTTCATTCGGATTTTTGGCATAAAAAGTGAACTTTTACCGTTCTTCCGTCGAATGATGAAATTATGGATTATAACATAAACATCAACAAAATTTGTCGGGTGTGCCTAGAAGAAAATGTATTGACATCTATTTTCAATACTGAGTTTGCTATGATTCCGGCCGAGATGCTTATGTTGTGTGCTAAAGTGAAGGTAGTTTTTATTTGATATTTCAAGTGGAAAATTTGATTCAAAATTGACTTTAAAGAATCCAAGCATAAGCTTGTCTATTGTTTTCAAAATGTTAGTCCATTCAAAGAGTGTATCGTAATTCCAATCATTCATCTCACTTCATTCGACCAGGTGTACAAAAACGATGGTTTACCGCCGGTGATATGTAACAACTGCATCTATCGATTAGGAGCTGCGTATCATTTTAAGCAACAATGTGAAAATTCCGATTTGCGTCTCCGTTCATACTTGGGGATATTGGACAAAGGATACGGCGAGACACGGGATTGTGAAACAAATACCGATCCAGATCCATATTTCAAAAGTGCCATCGATGGAACGGTGGATAAATTAGCCAAGTCATCAAAGCGATATCGAAATCGATACAAAAAGAAGTTACCAGAAGAGCGAAAGAAACGAGGGCCAAAACCCACACCAAAAGTACCACAAACATGCTACGAATGCCATAAGACTTTCAAGAGTGCAGCTCAGCTAACGATTCATATTCGGTAATTTTTGCATCATTTGTTGGTCATTTTTTTGACTATGGTGGAATATCAATTTGCATTGAAAATACTTCTATTCTTTATTCAGTACTCACACAGGCGAAAAGCCCTATATATGTCCGTATAATACGTCCGTAATTAATACATGTACGAGACGGTTTGCGCAAAAGCATAATTTGGAGATTCATATCAGGTAAATAAAGGAATTCACATTGTTGGATTGAATCAAATGCCACCCTTTAAAATAATCCCTTTGGTTTTTTTTTGATGTTTCAGAACTCATACGGGTGAGAAGCCTCTACAATGTGAAATTTGTTCCAAGCAATTCGCTGCATTGGGAAATTTCCAAGCCCACAAAAAGATTCACAGTGGTATTCGCGATCAGATTTGCCCGGTGTGCAACAAAGGCTTCTTGACATCAGGTTAGATAAGTTCGATAATTGATTTATAATGGTGCTGAAAACACAATTTTATTCATATTCTTATCCATTCTTGCGACTACTCAGGAGATTTATCGCGTCATATGGCAACGCACACGGGAATCAAAAATCACCATTGCGACATTTGCGGGAAAAGCTTCACACGAAACCGTGATATGGTAGCACATAAAAAGAAGTTGCATTTGATGAACGACCGATCCGCACACGAAACGTACAAATGCCGAGAATGTCATAAAGTATTCGCCACCGCTATAAGTCTAAGCACACATTTTCGCATCCATACGAATTCAATATCAGCGATGCCACCACCAATGATGCCAACCACCCCAATCGCACCGATTGCAAGTCACATCGGTGGTTCATTTGGACTGGGTCCACCGCATGCTCCAGGTCTAATGCTCGGCCATACACATCACCAAGGAACAATCAGCATGATGCATCACACACATACTCAACGACTGCACCCATATTAGGTTGCAACTATTTTCAGTATTATTTTACCTTCTTTTTACAATTTTTTTTTTTACTTTTATTTATAAATAATTTATTCCATTAATAAAATCTCGGTATTCATTTTGCTAATACATCGAATGAATCGTGTTTTTACGATTTCGTAAACTACGAAAGAAATGGACTACGAAACTCGGTTGGATAGGTAAACAAAACTGACATTTGCAATATCGAACTCAAGTTCAAGCGTAGCTGTCAAATGAGTACAACAAACGAATTAGGGTCTTCTTCTTCTTTTTTTTGGCGCTACTGCAAAGTGTCATTGAGTCACTTTACGCAGCAAATTTAGTATCCCAAATATTTAGCTCAAATTTATTTCTCATTGTGATTTCTGTGAACGACGAACAAAAACGAGATACAAATCCAATTATACGGACGACTTAATACAAATTAGCGTAGAAAAACAACGATGGCGTTCAATTTTCCGGCAGTTACCTATATTGTTGCGCTCATTTCCGACGCATTTTTAATCTTTTTCTCAATATTTCACGTGATTGCGTTTGATGAGCTTAAGACGGATTATAAAAATCCGATTGATCAGTGCAACAGCTTGAATCCGGTGAGTTGGTATTTGTGCAAATTGTACACGTAGGACAGTGGTATTTCGAAATATATTTGTTCATGTCGCAAAATTGTGATTAAAATAATCGATTTGTTTTGGGAGAATGAGAGAGAGAGAGAGAGAGAGAGAGAGAGAGAGGAAGAAAAATTTGTTTGTAATCACTCAATTGCTTTTATTTTGAATATTTACAGCTTGTTATACCGGAATATTTGTTGCATCTTTTCTTCAATATTCTCTTTTTGTTGGCTGGTGAATGGTTTTCGTTGCTGCTCAACATCCCACTCATTGCTTACCATGTATTCAGGTAATAGGCACATTTTTCATACTCCCAATTCTTGGCGTGGACTTTCATACGATTGGAATATTTCAGATACAAAAATCGACCAGTGATGTCCGGTCCAGGTCTGTATGATCCCACCAGTATTATGAATGCAGACACATTGGCCAAATGCCAACGGGAAGGCTGGATCAAATTAGCCGTTTACTTATTGTCATTCTTCTATTACTTATACGGGTAATTATGAGTCATAAAAAAATCAAAGATAAAATTCGAAACGTCAAATGTTACGCTTTTTTTCTCCATCGTTCTGTCAAACTTACTTAATTATATTTGTGTGTTTTTTTTTCTCCCCGTTTCGTTTCAGAATGATTTCATCGCTGATTTCGACATAAATGGTTTTTTTCCACAATTTCGGAGGAACAAAATGATTTCAATGGTCAGAGTGTGCCGTAATTTCTGATCAAAAATGTTTTTTTTTTCGTCGTGTTTAGTTTTATTGTAGCCAATTAAAATTCATTTATTCTAGCTAACATTTAAAACTCAGGTCAAAAGTGTTAAAAAGTCAAAATCAATGATTTCTTAATTGAGGAAATTGGACATTTTTGCATTATAAAAAAAAATTATAGAGAATTTGCGAAGGTTTGTTTTTGCTTTAGTCCTTGTAATCGGGCATTGAATCCGAATATCACTCACACACATTGTTTTTTTTTCAAACCACACACCCCAGTGAAATTATTTATTCAGAACAAATTATTCTCGAACAAATCGTTTTTGGTGTACTACTCATTCACTAATCAAATGCAATTTGGGTATTTCAGTTGTATTCTATCTCTTGAAGTTATCAATTTCAAGCTCACTGTCCATTTGTAATTTTTATAATGTATCAGAATCTGATAAAACTCATGAGATTTAAGCAAAAAATAACACACACACAAGTCGTTTCATTGAATTTTTCCATGTATTTTATTTGTAGGTGCTAATAAACAGAGCTCTCATTTTGTATGTTGCTATATCTGGAACTATTAGTAGCTGCTGTTTATAGTCAATAGCTGTGTATATTTTGAAATAGCAGCTACCGAACACTTTGTTCGGAATTATTTCGAACGTTCCATTGGATTTTTGGAAGTGGATCGATAACGTTAAATTATCGATCCACATACATTTTTGAATTGAACGTTATCTTTCCACTTCTAAAAATCCAATGGAACGTTCGAAATAATTCCGAACAAAGTGTTCGGTAGCTGCTATTTCAAAATATACACAGCTATTGACTATAAACAGCAGCTACTAATAGTTCCAGATATAGCAATATACAAAATGAGAGCTCTGCTAATAAAGACACAAACAAAGCCAATGTGGCACTTGAGTCATCATATAATTTTACGCTTACTGATATGAATGTTTTTATCGCTTGAAACCATATGAAAAAAAAATACAAATGACATCGTTCAACTGTCAAATTCGAATTCCTTCCTACGGTTAAATTGGTTCTTCTTCGTCTTCCAAAGATTGTCGTCGGCAAGATTGTCTCATTTGCCTGTAATTCGATTCCGTGAATTCATCAGTGTTGCTATCACAATCGATATTAAAGCACTTCACAGATTTGAAACTTGTTTGCTTGTCGTTAAGCCAAATGGATTTATTCCGAATAACAAATCAATCAAATTTTTACGGATACCCTTCGAAGTATTATGATTGGCTTATCAGGTTTTTCCGCTAAAATTATTTAAATTTATTGGATCCATCAAACTGCGTCCAATTCATAATTGATCGTACACAAATTTTGTTCTTTTATTTACACATTTTCTTTGAAATAGCATCATCAAAATTCTCGTTTTTTTGGCCACTATAGCAGCGATGACTGCATCCGCTGTGGCTGCTTCTGTGGTTTCCCACTTTGAAAATGCCGAGCACACTCCGGCGGACAATTTTTTGTCGGCTGTGGTAATTCGTTCAGGATCCAAACACCATTGCAGTGGAGTAATTTTGGATGGACATTGGATCATCACAACTGCCCATTGTGTAGCAAAATACACCAAAGAGGAGCTTCACGTAAGCTATCAGAGTAATGGCCACCAAATTAGCAGTAACGTAGATGCAGTCGTTTTGCATCCAGGATATAAGCAAGGACGATTGGTTAACAATGTCGCATTGATCAAAGTTAAATCGGAGATTGACTTTAATGCCGTCGTTCAAGCAGCCAAACTACCCACTGTTGATACGGAAGAAGACGAATTGGCATATGCAATCGGATGGGAGAAAGTTGATGGACATGTTAGTGAAGAATATATTCTTTTCTAATTTTTTTTTGTTTTTTTCCCATCTTATTACGATGTTGAACTTCAATGGCATAATTAAATTCATCATCTAAAACAATTTTGAAGTGCCTAGTTTATTTATATAGACTGTAAATATGATTTTTAAAAATCCCATTGCAGAGTCAACCATCAGGTGCACTGAAGTATTATCAAACCAAAGTTATGGCGTTGGATTTGTGCTGGGAACGATTGGAGGATTTGGATGCTGTTGAAGTCGATGACAACGTGATCTGCACATATGGCCCAACTGAAAACACCTCTCCTCTGTTGGACAATGGAAGTGCTCTAGTTTCGGTCAATAAAAGCGAATTGGTTGGAGTTAGTTTCTGGAACGAAGAGGGCTATTCGAATGTATACAGTAGAGTCCGTTCACATCTCACATGGATCAACTCCGTTAGATACCAAAATGCTTGAGCCATTATTATTATGCGAAAAGAATACAACTGTTTTTGAAGTAATGATTTTTAATAAAAATAAAGTTGGTAAATATAATTTGCTTTTTTTCATCTTGCTTTGTTCAACAGTTCCAATTATTATGTCGCGTTATGTTCTTCAACTGAAAATTTGGCTATACTTGCACTGGTTTTTGAATGTTTTGAGGAAAAAATTACAATGAAATATTTAGTTCAATGAATATCGACCCTGTCTGATCTTATTCGACCATGATGATAAACGAACAACGCTTTGCCAATTGTTAAATGGCAAAAAATGGAAAAAATAATCAATAGTGTAAATTTTGGTCGATATTTTCGTCCAATCGTCCACGAGGTAGGTTATATAGTGTCAATATGATCGGTTTTTTTAATAATACATATAAATATTCAGAGAAATTCGATAACTTTAGTATACATATAATCTACTTTACAGAACGTACGACAGCTGATGAATTGCAAACACACACTCTTCATAGAAATGTTTAATCAAACATAATGTTCACATCGATCAGCACATTGATGTGTACTAACGCACACATATGCAAACACACTTATTATCAAGTTCACAGAGTTATCAAAATCTGTCAAATATGTACTCAACTCATTTTACAGTCTTTCATTTGTTTTCCAAAAAACAAACTTCATCAATTAAAAGAACGTCTGGCTTGAAATGAACAAACCACATCTATTTCTCTCGATTTAGACTCGAACGAGTCAGTGTGACTATCACACTAGTGTGAAACAGACAAACTATTTACAAGACTCAGTTTAAACGTTTTTTTTTCTATCATTTCTCCCCAAAAAATGAGTTTTCTTTGATATTTACTGTGCATTGAATCATTTCATTGATAAATTGTTATTTTGTGATTGTACGTTATGGCCCCACGGTGTAGATAAAAATTTACGTGACGATAATACTATGACGGGTTTTGAAAATTTCACTCGGATTCACTAAAAATTGTAGAAAATATACGAAAATGCAAAAGAAAAAAATGCGAAAACTGTCATAAAAAATCGTCACCAAAACAAATCATAAGTTCTTTCCAAAATTTTCTTAAAATGGTCTTATAAATATACCGAATTCGTCATAAAATTTCCGAAATGGTTGGCTGACGATTGACATGTATTAATCTGAATTATCATTGCAATAACATTGATAGTGCGAGTGTGAGAAATTATTCCTTTCGGATCAGAAACAATAATCAATTGAAACAGTGTACAACTGTCCATGTATCAAGCTTGGTCATTTTTTTTTATTTGGCTGGATTAGGCTCAAACGAGCTTCATATTTTCAACGTGAATCCATTAAAGTTTTACATTAATTCAAGATGAATCTAGATAAATATCAGTGTTGGTATCACGGAGGTTTGACACGTGAACAGGCCGAAGATCTTTTGAAAAAATGTAAGCATAATACACATTTCTACTGATAACTGTGAAACAAAATGTTTGAACCCATTATCAACACAGAATAGTGATTGTTTTCATGAATGTTTCGAAAAACGTTCATCATTTTATGAAGTTGAAAGTCTTTGATTTGTAAAAAGAAAATTTAATTCGATTTGCAGCTGGAAAAAATGGTTTATTTTTAGTTCGCGATAGTAAAACATCGAGCGGAGATTACGTTCTTTCTTTATTACATAATGTAAGTTAGATTAATGGACTTGCTCATGTTCGTAATTTGTTTCTGTTTTTCAAGTCTAGTTATCATTTAACTTATGATATTTGAACCCGTGAGCATAAAAACAACGTATTGACTCTTCGCCGATGAATACGAAACGCAAAAAAATCGCCGAACAAAGTGAAACACCAATCTGTTATTGGATCAATATGAAGCATGAAATCGTTGGCTACTATTTTATTCACGTTGCGCTTTGTTTCGAAGCGCGGCAAGTGTTTCGTTTTGTTCCAGTAACAGAACGTTGTATCACTTTGTTCGGCGACGCGCTCAATGTACTGTTTTGGAAAAATATGCATGATTTGATATAGTTTTGAGTCCATTGGTATGATGATTCATTTTAACACAACACCCATTCTATTTCGCTCACACTTACGTGCACTTTAACGTTGCTGAAACATGTACGTTCTTGTTTCTTTACTGCGCACATCTTTTTAACAGTAAAGCAGACTACTTTGTTATACGGGTAAAAATTGCACGTAAGTGTGAGCGAAATAGAATGGGTGTTGTGCGTCCGTGTTTTGGCCATGTATAGATTTCACTATATAAACCAATGTATTCACAGCGGCGTGAACCCGCGTTCCGAGGATTTCATACAAACTTCCCATGTAGACGATCCGAAATAGGCAACAGTCGAAAAAAAAAGTTTAAATTTTTTTTCGATTTTCATATAGTATTTTTTTCTGCTCTATTGGTGTTATCGGCACATCGAAATTCGCGCTCCTTATCAGTTAATTTTCACTTCATAGACAAATCACGACCAAAACCACCATTAAAATGAATCATCATACCAATGGACTCAAAAGTGTATCAAACATTTTTGTTTCAATTAAAGTGAAACACAATTTCTATAGTCAGCCGATATTTCACGATTCACTTTCAAGCGAACAGAATTTATGTTGCACTCGCACAAAACTATATCAAATCATGCATATTTTTTCAAAACAGTACATTGAGCGCGTCGCCGAACAAAGTGATACAACGTTCTGTTACTGGAACAAAATGAAACACTTGCCGCGCTTCGAAACAAAGTGCAACGTAAATAAAATAGTGGCCAACGATTTCATGTTTCATATTGATCCAATAACAGATTGGTGTTTCACTTTGTTCGGCGATTTTTTTGCGTTTCGTATTCATCGGCGAAGAGTCAATACGTTGTTTTTATGCTCACGGGTTCATTTCTGTGTGTGTATTCAACAGAACGTAGTAATTCATTATCAAATTCGACGTCACGGCGAGGACGCATTCTTTTCAATCGATGATCAAAATCCAGTGCATGGTTTGGACGAGTTGATCAAACGGTTGCAAAAGTCCTGGGATGGATTAGTAACAGAGTTGGTGGCGATTCCATTAAAAGGTTCATTGCCGCCACCTGAGTCTCGTCAACATGGTCGCATAACACTACTCCATCGTGCGATCAATGAGAGGAATGTTAAGCTTGTAGAGGCAATGTTACAATCCAGCAATCAAAGAACACCGAATGCCAAAGATAAAGATGGTCGAACTAGCATACACTTGGCATGTCGTCTTACAGATAATGCTGAAAGCATCTTAGAAAAACTCATCAGCTGCGATGATGTGAAGGTCAATTGTCGCGATTTAGAGGGAAATGCACCATTGCATGTAAGACGAACTCTTTCCAATTTACTGATCGTTATTTTAAAGATTGAAATGCTTAACTAAAAGACATATTCGTTCGTTATTCAAAAGTATGCATGCCGAAAACAGTCAGTATCTTTGATTCAGAAGCTCATCGATGCTGGGGCGTATGTTATTGTTCGAAATATAAACACAGGACGAGTACCTTTGCACGAAGCGGCCAGCACCGGCAATATCGATGTGGTTAAACTGCTACTTAAACAAGGTATTCCACACTTACCGCGTACATCAAAATCTGAAACACCTGCTCAACTTGCCAGAAGAGGTGGTCATTCGGAAACTGCTGAATTTTTGGGTAAAATTGTGGCAAAATTGATTACATAAAACTAGTATGGTTGGAGCAACTAAGTAACTTATGTTAATTTCCTTTAGAAAATTTTAAACCGCCTCTTCCTACAACGAATGCATCTCAATGGCTACATGGCACATTAAACAGAGACGAAGCTATTAGAGTTTTACAAATGTTTATTACAGCGAATCTCGCGTATCAGGTATCACTATTGACACTGCAGTGTCATGGCTTGACATAATGTTGAACATCGAGTTTTCCATACTAATCAAATTTCTTCTTTGGCCATGGATAGGAAGTATCGGGCGCATTTTTAATACGATATTCTCACAATGAAAATGAACATATTTTAAGCTTGATAGACGATGAGAATGGCATGAGAAATTATCCTATACAACAAAGTAATTCTGTAAGTCATGTTCGAATTCCATTGACAAAACGGTCGAATTTTATTTTTGAAAGAATTATTCTATTCTCCAACAGACAGATAACTACTTTTTCATCGATGAAGGGCCATATATGATATCATTAGAGCATTTGGTTCAACACTATATGAAATTTTCCGACGGGTTACCATCCAATTTGCGATATCCTGTGGCACCGAATCCAAAACCACCACTTCCTTCAATTTCAATACAAAATCCAATTCCGCAATCTCATTCAGGAGAGTTACCAAGGCTTCTGATCTAACTTCTAATCGAACATAGTCATAGATGATCATGACAGTTATCGTGAATCATTGCTGGATTTCGAATGACTGCAGGGATTTGAAAAGAACTGAGAAATTACAGTAATTTATGGAATGTTGACTTATATTTAAGTGAAACAAAGTACCATGATCAAGGGATCCCACCAATGTTATCTAAATACATTTTAAAACTTGATTTATTGAAAATATGTCTGGATTTGAAAAACAGCAATTGCTTTAGATAACAACTCTTCGTTTGTTTAAGTTTTTTTTTTGAAAAAATTGCGTGTGTTTTTTTGAAGTCAACAAGACTACATTCCAAAAAATAATTCACAACAACAACTATGGAGGACATTAATGTCTTCTCTAGTTAAAGCTTATTTGTTTATATACAAAAGGTGGAAAGACACGTAAGTATTCTTTCTTCAAACATTATCAAATATTATCATTATTTTTGGCCGAGTTATTGAATATTATTCGCGCTGAATTTAAGTTATCTATAATATCTTTTTGATCAAAATGGAACAAAGTTTGCAGTATTTGATCCTACAAAATGAAAAAGTAATGAGGAAACAGCGGAAAGCACTGAATTGGTATTTGCATATTCGTTTTTTGTGTCAGTAGAAATGGGATATAAGAGGATATACGAATAAAACTACGATCATAGTGATGTTGAGGTCATCGTTATTTTTCTCAGAATTTGGTTCTTTCTCCTAATGGCGATTTCTTCTTATGTCTAGACATAGATGCTATGTTGTGTGATAAATAGAGCTTCGAACATTTTTTTCTCAAGAAAAAGTGATGCGTTTGTGACCCAAAAGATGATAGGATTATCTGTTTCCACGTAAAAATACTCTAGCTTACCAAAAGATTATCCTACCTAAATATGGTGCAAAATGAACGAGCCATCGCAGTTTTCGACCAAGAATGTCCTTTTGGCTCTATGTATTATAAATAGTGTAGCATTTTGTAAGGTCGCACCATTCGTTTCTATGGTGTCGCAAAATGCTTACCTATCTCATTCAATTTGCATTGTGTTCATTGTTATTAATTTTTTTAAATTTTTGGACGAGTACTCAACATTTTGAAAATCAACGAGATTTATTTCACATTGGACGAAATCTGATCTGCAAATCTCGGTGTTTTAGCTTGGACGAATAATTTGTGGCTCATTTATAAGTAAGTAAAGTTATTTCAAATAAAGAAGAATTTTTTGCTCATTGTTTAGAATAAAATGCAAATCGTTCTCCATTTAAAAATACGTGGACCTTCTTCACCTTTGAAATGTTTTTTTTTTCGTGATTGGTTGAAATTAATTTATATTTGATCTTTTTTTCAGAATCCAGTTTGCGCTACTGTTTCTTCAGCAATCGATTCAATATTTTGCGGGCCAGCAGCCACATCAAAATCAACCAATGGAGATTTCAGCACAACATGAAGCCATGGAAGGGATTATTGAAACAGACATTTACTTACCTCCAGCTCAAGAGTCTCCAAAAAACATTCTGAATATTCTTAACGACGATTGCATTCAAGCTGTCTTATTGAAGCTAGACAATATGTTGGATTTTCTTCATGCAGCCGAAGTATGTACAAGATTTGAGAAAAATGCACAGATGCGTTTTCCTTTTAAGAACGTATCTCTTTCAAGCGGCAAGGAAGGAAGAATTTTCTATAAATGGAATGAAAAAAATTCTCCATCAATGGAGTATGCGGAAAAGTTCTTTGGCACATTTGGTCGATTTGTCAAATCGGTTCGATATTTCTATTATGGATGCAATGGAAAGAAAATGAGTGAAGAAATAAGTCTAATTCATAAATATTGCGGAAAAACTTTGGTCAAATTGAGTATTGATGTATACTTATCATATCCCTTGAGTTTACAATTCGAAGCTCTTGAGGAACTGGTCTTGGATAATACAGTTCCAGTCACATCAGCAAATCTTTTTCCCAAATTGAAAAAATTGTCTCTGCGTGGAGGGAGATCGATATTAAGAGATGACATGGATTGGGTTGCAAATGAATTTCCGCATCTAAAGAAAGTTGAATTTATGGACGTTGCAAAACTAACGAATGATATTTTTATTGAGTTTCAAAAACGAAATCCACAACTAGAAAATCTATGTTTGTGGAATAGAAATAGAAGCAAGCTAAGTTTTACATCAAGGAAAGTATGGCAAGGTATTGGAAAACGTTTGCCAAATCTTGTCAGCCTATACTTGGACAACATAGAAATGGATAAGAATATCTTAGAATTGTGCACTTTGCGGAAATTAAGAGAGATAAATATTTCGCCAGTGGTAAAGTCTCAAAAACCTCTATTTGATTCGTTTGTTAAAAACAATGTGCCCATTGAAAAATTGTGCATTAAACGATTAGATATTGAAACTGCAAAAAGTGTACAAAAAATGAAACTGATAGAACATCTAACAATTTATGGCGCTTCTGAACAAACAGTTATCAGTACCGTCAAACAACTACCAGCCTTAGATTATTTAAGTTTAATGTGGATAAAAGATGGAAGCCCACGGATGGTGAAAAAAATCTTACAACATTGTAAAAACTTAACTGAATTGATTATTGTGCTAGAAGAGTTGTGCACTATTGATGCGGATGAGTACAATTCAATCGTAAAATTGGCTGAAAATCGATGTAAAGTCACTTTGGACATGAGTAATTGGGTTGTCATCAAAAAAAATTGAAAAATATCGCTCACTTTGCTTCATTCGGTGAATTTGTTAGAGTACCCGATATTTATAGGTAATAAGTATCTGTAAATTCCATTCATTCAAAATAAATACATCGTAACTTATCACAAGGTCTTTTTTTCTCTTGTCGGCAATAATTATTCATCCATTCGCTGATGCAATCATAAGGTGGCGTGCAAAGTGCGACGCTGGCGAAGCGCTATTCCTCGGATCAATGCCGTTATGGGAAGGTATTGAGCTGAGAAAAGCAACAAAGAGTCGAAGAATGATCACAGTCATGTTGATTAACAAAATGAGTGCATTTATTTGAAAGTAATTTTTAAAATTTCCCTTCCAATATTGTCATTGCATTTGAATGCACTTTCTGTCTCGAAAATGTCCTCTTTCAAAAGAATCTGTTCAAATTGTCTTAAGCTACCACCAACTCCGAAATAGTGAACCTTTGCTGCCAAGTAGCACACTCCTGTTGGCTTCAGCTTTGTTTTGATGATATGGATTATCTTATCATAATTCTGAACATTGTAAATTGTCTCTGACGTTAGAATAAAATCGAATTTCTCTCCATCTTCCGTCTTTTCAGCGTAATTCGTCCAATCGCCGGAATAAAATCGACATCGTTCTTGAAGTTTCTCTACAGATTTTGTGTTCACAAGTACATTTGGTATTGTGATGTGCTCTAGCACGGTTTTATTCTGTAAATTGAATAACATTTTAGTCAAAAAAAATTGCTTCGGAATAATAATCGAACTTACATAGTCTTGAAAATGAACTGATGCACCATTCTGCAGGGCAAGTATTCCGAGAATGCCTGCACCACAGCCCAGATCCAAAACGCTGCTGTTTCGGAAGTCATCGATCAAGCATTTGGTTCCATCTGTTGTTTTTGTCAAATACTCTCCCACGGTTTCGGTACATTCCCATACTTTGGCACCTCCTGTGAACAAAGAAGGCATTACAAAGACATGCAAATGTTATTCAGATTTCAAGCAATAAAAATCGATCAAAAATGATCTAAAGTATAAAGAAGAATTTTTGTTTTTTTCCATCACCTTCATAAATGCCTGCAATCAAATCCGAGTGATTCTCTTCGGCACAGCTTATGTCATCGAATTGCCCGGCTAATTTTTCAATAATATCCTCAATCGACACATGATGCACTTTGTGTTCATGGAAGGTGATAGAATTCAGTGTCGCAACTAAGTTTGGTGCGAAATAATCTCGTTCGGTCTGTTCTTTCGATGGAACGATTTCATGGCATTCATCGTGTTTGTTTACAGGCTTTGATTCAGTCTTTGTTTCGATTTCCGTTTTTGTCTCTGCAACTAACACAAAAGGAATTAGTCGTCATTTTCAAAAGGTAAATCAAAGCAACTCACCTTTTTCTTCTTCTGCCTTAGATCCATCCCTGTCGTTTTCTTCGGTGATAAAATTGAATTTAAACATGATTCCAATTCAAAAGCCAAAATACGGTCTTCAACGTGCTCATGGAGTTTTTGTTTGTGTGTTGAAAATTCCACTGAACTGAAATTTCGGAACGTCACTTGAAATACGTAACTGTCAAACTTGACAGTTCAAGTAAATTCAAAGTTGAATTTTGTTTATATCATTATCATGTTTTTATTTATTCAATTTTTCCCGCAGGCTTAAACTATTCTAAGACAATATTGATTCCGATGAGAACTGCGTGTCGAACCAGTGAATCTTTCGCATGTTTCCATGTCGTTGATGTTTTTTAAAGAACAGTGGTATGATGTTAATGTATTGAAACAATCGAAATGTGTCTCCTCCTCGAATGTTTTCACTTCTTCTTGTAGCGACGTCGATTTCTGAAAAGAAAGGAAAGAAATAAATGGAATTGACCATTATTAACGGTTCAATAAGCATTAAGACCACCACAAGCTATACCTATCATCGTAATAGTCCTTTCTTTCTCTGGGATCAAAGTTATTGTCATCACTATCCGATTCTTCTCCGCTGTCTGTATCTTCCTCTTCGTAGTCTTCCTGTTCTTTGATTTGTTCTTCCAATTCTCTTTCGTACAGCTCATTGAATGCCTCAAACTCTTTCATCGAAATGCGACACGTTTTTATCGCAAATTCTTCATCATTCAAGTCCATGATTCGAAATAGACGTAAATTCTTATTTGGATCCAATTCAGACGCTCGCCAATTACGCTTTTTATAGATGCCCAATCGCACAAGCAGCGTATGACGCGACTTAATTGTCTTTAAACTCAAGCCCAAAGAACCGGATTTCACTATATCGGTGACATCTGCTTCCATGCTCTTCAAAATGTAATCAACTTTCTGCTGAATCGTTCTCATGTCATCGACAAGAAGATTTGGGCACGACATAAGAAGTCTCCAGATGTTTTTCGGTGTATGCACAATCGTTTGCAATTGAGCATACCGTTTGGCTAGATAATGTTCGTCATCGAAATCAAGAAGTTCTGGACATTGCACGAATAACTCATAATATTGCGACTGACTGAATTGAGCCATGTGCCACATTTCCAAACGCTCTTCAATTTGCTTTGGATTACAACGCAACAAATTGGGATGCTTATCAATTACTTTCACACTGTTTTCGGGTGAAAAACCAGCTTTTAACAGCACATTGTAGGCTTGTTGAACAATATTTTCACCATAGTATGCAATTTGTTCATTATTTTCGAGCAAATTTGCTATGAGCTTTTTCTCTGGCGTTGCCGATGTGTCTGATGCAAAACATCTTATACATCTTGCCTAAAATTAATTGATTTTTTTTTGAAAATTAACATTTTTCTGTGTTAAAATGAGTGAAATACCTTTACAGCCTGTTGACCTGTGGTGACTACGGTAAAATACGTCCTCTGTAGCAGCAAATTAGATAATAGCTTCGAACGAAACATCTTTTTGCATTGAGTTTGAACATTGAGGTTATGTTTACTTTGAAGTTTATTATCATACGATGACAGTTGTTTTTCATAATAAACACGCATGTTGGTCTATGTTGCTTGTGTCAAGCAGTACATGGAAAATATTGGTGCCTTCACACAATAACATTACTCGTTGAAAGGTGCTGAGACTACGACAATAATTGCCGGTGAGGAAATTAAAAAGTGGATAAAATATAAACTTTTTACTTGTGCAAAAAAAAATTCATCAAACCAATACAAAATGTTCAATTTTCAGATGAGATGGGAGTCCGAGGCTTGACAACGTATATCGCTGCAAATGCAGATCGTTATTTGGATGAACATGAACTACACGATTGTAATGTGGTCATCGACGGTGACAGTTTATCGTGTCAGCTGTACAAATCCATAAATTCAGCATTTGGTGGGAACTATGACCATTATTTCCGAGTTGTTTGCAATTTCTTCGGAATGCTAAAGCAATGCAATATCACTGCATATGTTTTGTTGGATGGTGGTTACCAGGCGAAGAAATTAAGTACAGTAAAGCAGCGCTTGCGATCGAAAATTGGTGCCATCAAACATCTGAATCCATTGATGGATAGTCAACCAACATTCCCTATAAGTAAATTCTTTGACAAATCAATTATTTTCAATCAGAGATTTAATGATTGACATTAATCAAATAATGATTCGTTACTTTTAGTGATGCGAGAGGTGTTTGTGGAGGCATTGGAACACTGCCACGTTTTAAGCATGCGATGCATATTTGAAGCTGATGACGAAGTGGCCGCACTGTCACGCAAGCTTAAATGTCCAGTTCTGAGTTTTGACTCCGATTTTTACATTCACAATGTTCAGGTAGTTCATTCATTTCAACACAAAAAAGGCCAATCTGCAACTAATCATTCAATGTTTAGTATATCCCATCGGTAACATTGTCGCTGAAAGTTTTCCGTCGAAACATTCCGGATGAGGAGAGCAAGAAGAAAGTTCGGCTCCGCAAAGAGCTGGTGTCTGAAATCAACTCGGATGGAGACTATGATCGTTTCAAGGGAACTGAAGTGAAACGAAAATGCTATTACTATATGCAATGCTCCATGTATCGTATTGCAAATCTAACGCGCGATAAAGGCTTACGTTCAGAAATGTTGCCACTGTTTGCAATCTTATTGGGCAATGACTATGTACCATCGTCGATTTTTAAGAAATTCTATTTGAATGTCAGCATGAAGAAAACGGGAAAGAACAGCACAAAACAAGGGAAACGGATTATTGCGCTGCTGAGATGGCTGCAACATGAAACACTCGCATCGGCCATCGATAAAATCATTAATCATGTGGAAAAGGATAAGAAAGTGTGGCTTCGCGAGCAAATCAATAACGGCATTTCTGGTTACATACATGAGAAGAGCATGGCTTACGATTATTTTGGGTTTTCATCAAATGAACAACCGGGTGATTATTTATCAGCTGCAACAATACCTGATTGTCTCGTCGATACGACATTGGAAGAAGATGCCGATACAGGGACTTTGGAAGAAGAGGAAGTCGACAAAAGTGATCATGGTGAGGGTGAGGATGACGACAACAGCAATGCAGTCGAAAATGATGATGAAGATGACAATAGCAGCAGCTCTGACAGTGATACTGAAAGTGAACCATTGGAATCTGATTCGGACGACAACAAAGATGAAATCCAACCCAATTCCAAAACACACGACAGCTTTGATACGTACACACCAACAAACGAAACATTGTTCGTACCACCGGAATGGCTACTGAAGAAAATACTTGCAGGTAATGTTTCTTTCTCGCTAGAACATCTAATCAATTTTACAATTAATCCATAGTTGCTGGATAAAGAGTTGGAAAAATGCTTCCATTCTAGATTTTAGCTAAATATTTCTCTGCATTTCCCAGGACAACTACCACGATACGTGGTCGATTTGATGACAATGCGGCTCTATGTGAACAATTGCCAAGTGGAAAATTTCCTATTGCCTGACTGTAATGCAATTTCAGTGCCGATTCTTCAACTGATTTTCACAATATTACATCAGCCATACCACAGAGAGTTTCGCTATTTGACACGCGTGCAACGCCGAACTGACATTGAATACAAGCGATTCGAGTCATTATCCGTAGATAGAGAATTCGATACAGCAAGCGATAAGAATCGCAAGTTTTTCGAATTGATTCTGCGAGATTTTGAAAATTCTGAAACGATTTTCAAGGTGATTGAAGAAACAGTTCCTTCGGACATTCGACTACTATTCATTGCAATCATCTATTGGGCCCGATATTCAAAGCATTGCAACGTGGTGTACGTATGCAGTTTGTTGCTGTGCCAAATTGTTCTAACCGAAATTGATTCAAGGCTAGAGCCTACAGTACGAGATAGACGGAAATTCGAGAAAATCTTCAATCCAAATGGGATTAAGGGCGTTGAGAATGCCAAGAAGAATGTCGATGAAAATGAATTGTCGATCGAGGAATGCAAGAAAGACGTTACGCGTAATGAATGTATTGTTACGCAATTCAACCGTCTTCTCGAACTGTTCTCAATTAGCGATAAGCTGAGGACAAAACACACGGAATTCTCAAGTGATATCGTTCACGGATTCGGTGAATTCCAATCAATTGTCTATCAATTGAATTGTCTCAATGTGCTATGCGGTGAACCATATTCAAACATCGTGATTTCAAAGTGTTTCAACGGATGTTTCTTATTTAACATGTATTCAACGCTCAAAGAACGGCCAAACATTAGATATTTCATCAAAACCTTTCTTTTCCCTGCATCACCGAATCTTTTGAATTTATTTAAAGCCATGATGCTGGTGCTCACACCATTCGTTGGATGTCTGTCGAGCGAAACCATTTCAAAGCGCAAGAAGAGAAGAAACATCAATAAGAAAAAATCTAGGGAACAACGGAAGAATAATGTTACTGCAAATGATGACGAACATGCTAATGCGGATGAAGAAGATCCGAACGAAGCCGAATTCGAAGATTTAAATAACCGATTTTCATGTTTAATGAAAATGTGAAAGAATTTTATTCATTGAATAAATAAAAACAACGAAATACATTTTTATGGTTTAATTTTATTTCAGTCGTGAGTTACTTTTTCTTTTGATGTGGTTTTCTTATCATTAATGTCTTTGGAGCTCTTTCATCGTTGGTATTTTCACCAGAATTGTCTTCATTAAGTGGAAATTTCTTAATTTGCTCACTTTTAATTTCAAATAAGATAGAGGAAAGTCTCTGACTCTCTCGGAATTTTTGCTTATGACCAAATTTTGTCAATCAATGTACCAAATACAATCAAACAAAAAGGCGCAACTTCATTTATTTGAATTGTGTGCCCTACTTCCTCGGACATTTTGAAGAGAAAGTGAGAAAAATCGATTGAAATCTTTAATCAATAGACCAGATCTAAATTCGACTATTAGTGTTTGTTATCAAAAACCAAACTCATATATTTTCTTGAAGGAAAATGCTCCGAGTTTGAATTTTGGCCTGATCATCTCTTGATGATAAAAGCTCTACGCCACAACTCATTCCATCAAAACTCCAATTTAAATCAGCACCAACAGCACAATTATCAGGAAGAGCCACCGCGTGAAACTTATGGCGAATACAAGCGTCGAAAGCGTGAATTGGAGGAACAAATGCAAAGGGTCGCTGCATCTGCTTTAAATAAGACTGGCCAAAATACTGCCAATGAACAAAGTAAAGAACCAAAGCATGAATCACCTAAGCAAACCGATAAACCGCAAAATGAAAATGATAAACAGAAGTATGCATCAAGCACTACTGCCAAAAGGTCAGATAACAATGTCATTAACGCATTACCTCAATCGAAATCTGGCTATTCATTCAAGATTCCAATGTTATCAACACGTACGTCAACCGTTGCTAAAAGATTTTCATCTGAAAATAATAGTGCAACCAAAGCAGCAAGGGTGTCTAAGATGTCGAGTGTCTCGGATGCGAAATTACGGGAAAATGGTCAAACTCAGGCTGGCAAAACAGTTCTGATGGAAAAGTCGACAAATGCATCAGAACTACATGAAAAACTAAACAAACAAACACCTGCGGATTTCCATAAAATGTTTCAAAATTTTGCTGGCAGTGAATCTGATGGGATAAAGAGCCGACTCAGGCAAGAAGTCATGCCGAACGATGATACGGTGATACAAAACAACGCAGCAAGTAATAATTCATCGAATATATCAAAGGTCAAGCAAGACTGAATATGTCACAACACCGAAAAAGCCAAAGCAACAGTGAAACTCAAAACAATATAAGTGAATATTAATGTTGATATTGACATTTTACTTATTTCAACAATTTTACTAGTGCTTTAGTTTAATGCGTTTGATTTCTATTCATTTTTTGCAGATAAACCAAATCTCACACACATAACCACAATCAATGCACGGACATTTGTATGCCATGACACTTCTCCAGAGAATATCGATACACAACCGCTGGATAATCACATATTCCCAGGATCCACCTTGAGCATGATTACATTTTGAAAATGTATTAATCTTAGCCTTTTAAACGTAAAAATGTGTCCGAATACTTCTCAAAGAGCATCATTTAATCAAAATAAAAATAAAAAGCCGTATTTTTATCAATTTTCTGTTTATTTTAATTAAAATAAACTGTAATTAGAAAGCATACATAAGAATTGTGTTGAAAAGTGACTATTTTGTTGTGCGTTTTTTTTCCTGGTTGAATTATGTCAATCAAACAAACAACTCAAACAGTAACTTTGTAGAACATGCTAAAGTTTATCAGGAAACGAAATCGTATTCGAAGAGTAGAATAATCGATTTTCATGTTCAAGGGCAATGGGAATGAATTTTATTCATTGAATAAACGAAAACAAGAAAACAAATTTTTATGGTTTAGTATTTTTTTCCCATCATCAGTGATTTCATCTTTCAATGTGTCGTTTTTATCTATTGCATCCCACTTGGACGGTGTGCTGTGTTAACATCGTTGACATATCATACAATGTGTTCAAGATGCGATACTCAAAACTGACATCAATGTAAAGAATTGCCGTCATACCGATTCGGCCGAAAGGAGCTAGCTCTATTCCAGTTTGAATTTGCTGTGTGCATGAAAAATGGAGCAAACACACACATTTTGAATGGATTTTTCCATCCACGCTTGTGGTTCCAGTATATTTGCGTGCTTTAACGTTTAGTGCAGACCACTACATACAACTGAGTAGTTTTCACATGCGCCCGGTATAACACAGTTTGGTTTGAACCAACGCAAATGACCACTCGAATTTTCGCCTGTGATACGTTTGCATGTAGTGGTAGTGGTAATCCATTGTACTGTTTGACAACACACCAAACCGTCTTTGCGATCGGCATCGATGCTACACGCACAACACGCTAAGTTCAGTTATAGTCCTACAGTCCATTTGGTACGACACAACTCGAACTCATTAGATTAACGCGATTAAGTTCTATGTTCAAACACGGATTCAGATAGATTGATAGCCGAAACAATTGAAATCATTTTGTTTGTTTTTTGCGCGACATTTTTTCAACATTGGAGATATTTTTCGTGCAAAACGATTTGCAGTGAAACCTCCAAAGTGAGCATTTTTTTTCGTTGCAAAAATCAATTGAATTGGCATTTCTCAGTACACCGTTTATCAGAAAAGGGATAAAACACCTCTTGATGCGTAATTTTGGTCAATTCAATTCAAGTTCTGTGTTATTCTGAAATCACAACGAAACCATCATTGCATTGCATTGGAATTGTAGTGAGAATATCGAATGAGATTCAAGCAAAACGTTGAAAATTGTTCACGGCGCATATTTTGCATATTGAGTGCCTTAGCCACATTGACATGGCAGGAGACACATTTGATACGTCTGTTTGCCCTGTGATCAATGATTTTGTTGTTGTTTTTCAATCTCTGTGGAAGTGTGTTGTGACAACAACACGAGGTCGAATACGCAACAGAGCATCACTCCATTTTAACTTCATCGTATCAGGACCAGGAGGTTTACTTCATCAGATTTTTTTCCCTGAACATAGTCCCATTTATTCAATGGTATCAAACTCATAATAACTGTTTTTTCTTCCGCTTCTATAGGATATTGAACAAATTCCAAATTGATTTGACATTCATTGAAGCGACGCCTCATTTGATTCTGTGTTTGATTCTACCAAAAGTTTTCGAAGAACACTAATATCGAATCTCACATTTCAAACAACTATCGATTCAATAAGTTTGTTCGTTTAGTGTTGCGTCACAGACAGTTCAAACAAAATGCGTCGAGCTGCATCAAATTCGACGGCGCAGAAAGGCTTACGCCTATTCAAAGATTTCTTTGTTGATTTGATGAAAGACGACCAAGTAAGTACAATGTAGTTTGAGCATAGCGATTTGGACTTGAAAACACTGGCTCATATTTCTTTTTATCCACATTCAGTACGATTGTTTGCAACTTGCTTATGATCCGGACACAGTTGGCTTGTATGGTATTGCATTGAGACGTGACAGATACAAGAGTATCGACGAATTTTTGACCGACATCGATCTGTTGGCCCAAAGATACATAAGTGAGTGTTATTTAAAAAGCACATTGACTTGATCTGATTGCAATTTTAATTAAATACCATTCATTGATCACATCATCAGGAGGTTCCGATAGATACGAGGCAGCTCAATTGTTCAAAGAATCTTGCCGTGCAGAAGCCGACACCATCAAAAAGTGCCCGGATTGCTACGAATCTTGGCTGAATTGCAGCAAGAATTTCTTCGAATGCGTGTGCACCCAGCCTCATTTAGTGGTCTTCGCTAAGGTAGATGGCTTTCCAATTTGGCCAGCCAAACTGACAGCGTTCAATGATGTCCTCAAAGAGGCCACCATTGTATGTTTCGGCGACCATGAAGAAGCCGAAATACCATTCGCTAAGTGCTTCTTGTATTCGAAGAAAATTAAACGTGAAAAGGCGTTGAATGCAAAGCAGAAAATACAACTCGATAAAGGCTACAAGGTTATTAAAATTGACTTATTCTGTTCTGTTACCATTTCATTGATTGCAATATTTGCTACCTGTATTTCAGGAAGTCAAGAGACACATCAAAAACGTCGTTGATAGATTCGGTTCGTTCGTTCTGGCTCCAACTAAAAGAGCCATAAGTGATGTGAAACAGCATTTGATTGACATGATCCCGGGTGCTTACGCATCAGAAGGGTCAATGACAACCGATAGGCATCAACCATGCGCAACGCCAGATGAAGCTCGACGTTCGGCTGATAGCACTGCTGAACATTCTGCGAGTTATTCAGCATCGTCTGAATGCGATATTGATGACGCGGATATGCATCTTCCAGGCAGCATTGATATCAAATCCGAAGATTTGGACGATCAACATCAGCCAGAAGATCTATCAGCCCCAAACGAATTGCCAATCGAAATGGAAATCGCAGGAGTGGTCGAAAATTATTCACACCATGACGATGAACAAGATATTGGCGCAAACGATGATTACGGTGACAGTGGTCATTTGGTCATGAATGGAAATCTGCCGACTACTCCGCGTGCGGCTAGAGACGACTGTTCTTTCTTGCGGCAACAATCCACACGACCAGCACGCGAGGTCAAAAGCGAAGATGCAACCATAATCCAAAATGGTCCAAATCGTCGAAAGCGTCAAACTGACAATTCTGCCATGGTGAACAAGCGAAACGTTCCGGAACGAAACAAAAAGGCCAGAGCCGCTGGAACGGGCAATTCATCACAAGCGAATGACGAAAATGACGTGGTCATACTAGATGATGACGATGGTGATGATCAGAAGGAATTGCTCAAGGATTTATGCGAAATCTCGGTGAAAATAGCTGACCACGAACGGGCCATTCGAAGTCTGAAAGAGCAAAAAGATCGCATTACAAACCAAATTCTTACCAGATAAACGGAGCCATCACGCGGTCAAACCATCTCAAAGCGAAAGAAGCAGAGATATATTACATTAATGATAAAATGAACAGAGACAAGCGAAGAAACCATGTTACACAAATGATCGATCCTAACCAAATGTAATTTGAAGATTAAAACAAACATTTTTTGTTGGTAAATGAATAAGTGAAAGAATTTCATTCCTATTGAATAAATGAAAGCAAGCAAGCATATTTTTGTGGTTTAATTTCTTTGATCATCAGTAAATTCTTAATTGTGAAATGTTTTTCTTATCAACGTCTTTGGAGCTCTTCCATCAATGATATTTTCACCAGTGTTATCTTGATCTACTTTCTTCGGCAGTTTACACATTTCAAATTACAAAAAAGTAGTCTCCAACTAACGAATAAAGATGAGTTGAAAAGTCTTCACAGAGACAATAATTTATGAACGAAACAATGCACAAATGAATTGGCGCGATTTCATTCATTTGATTTTGGTGCTTAATCACATGAACATTTTGAAGAGAGAGTGAGAAAAACGAATTAACCTTTTTACCAATAGACCAAAAATGAATTCATATTGGTTCGAAGGGTCCAGATTTTTCAGACCACCTTCTTGGATGATAGATTCCGTTCCAATTGAGATAGCATGTTGAGTCAACATCTTTGGAATATTTGAGATGTGCCACCCAAAACTCAATTCAATCTACAGAATCGCTGTCAAATCCATTTCGCCGAAGGGATCATTGTTATGTGCCTTCTCAATAGATTGCTGTTCAATGTGCGGTATTCATCAGAAGAAAACGTTACAAATTCCCAACCCAAGATTCGCCACAAAGAGCTTACTTCATCGCAATCAAAATCGAAGCAAAAATGGCTACTCGCTGAGTTTAGTTATAATCCTATAGCCCACGATACAACTTGGACTAAAGAGTAGATCAATATGATATAAAGTTGAAATTGTGATAAAATTCATTGCATAAGTCCCAGTTCATATAAATTGATAGCCAAAAAGGCAAATTTTACTCCGGTTCAACCTATTTTCTTGTTTTTTTACAACATATTTCCAACGCTGGAGATATTTTTCGTATATTTCGACGATTTGCGGTCAAATTGACGAGGTGAGCATTTCTTTCACTGCAAACATCAATTCGATTGACATTCGTCAATTCATTGCTTTTATCACAAAATGGATAAAAGACCTTCCATTGCGTGATTTGTATTTCCGTTAATTTAGTTTGAGTTTGAAGTGATTCGGGAATTACAACAAAACCCTCTTTGCACATCGAGTGAGATGCACACAGAAAATGGAATTTTGCATAGAGTCATTTGAAATATGATACTTCTGCCATATTCCATACTGTTCATGTTCATGCATCAATGGTTTTGTTGTTTTTCAAATTCGTAAGATATACAAGTTTACCGCGCAAAATAACACGCGATTGAACAACAGAACAGAGCCTCATTCTAGTTCAACTGCGTCGTATCGAGAAGTTCATTTTCTAAGAATCTATTTCACTTGATATCAAATCAAGGGGGAAATCACTCAAAAGTAATACCAAATAGAAAAGTAATACCTCAGTTATTTCTAGTAATACCTCTGGTATTACTTTTGATATTTCTATGAAAAAAGTAATACCGAAAAAAGTAATATCCAAGTAATACCAAGTAATACTGATCAATAGAAGTAATACACCTGGTATTACTTTTGATTTGTACGGAAAGTAATACCAAGTAATACCATTTATGTAAAAGTAATACCTAAGAGTGATTTGCCCCTCGTATCAAATGCACAATCGAACTCTTGTTTCCTTCTGCTTCTAGACATTGAAAGCTTTCCAATTTGGTTTGACATCAATTGAAATGACGTCGTATGTGATTTTTCATATGATTCCACCATATTTTTCGAAAAACATCCATTTTGAATCTAAAATTTCGATTAATCATCAATATCGTTGAATCCTCTTAATTTTTATGTTTTTCGTCATAAACAGTCCAAGCAAGATGGTCAAAAATGTTCAGACATCAAATTCGATTGAGCAGAAAGGTCTTATGCCCGTTGTAAGTGGTTCGGATTTAATTAAATCCAAAGATTTAATTTTCAACTTTGCGGAAACGGCCAAAATATGAAAGGTGATTGGGTAGGACGTAAAATTTGGGCGAAAATAAGAAAAA